AGGATACACACGGATAAGACTAAAGGATATAGGAATCTCAATTGTTGAGTTAACTTGTGAAGGGAATTCCAGGAAAATTCAAGAATCTCGTAAAAAAAACCAGGAATCTCACAAAACTCTAGCTTCTCAGCAACTAAGTGTAGTCCAGAGTAGTGCAGGATCTCACACACCCCTAGCAACCAGATTATCTCTGTTCAGCAGAGACCTGCAAATGTCTTCTATATTTGAGAGCAACTCAAGTAGTGTTTCTGCTCCCACACCCACTCTTCTAGTCTGTTGTGTTTATATGCCTCAAGTTCAATGGCCTGAGGGGATTCTAATTGGTCTAATGAGGCATTGTTTCCCTCAGGGCAGAGCTTTAATGCCACACTATCTCACACTATCTATACTTCAAACTATTCATCATCCTGCTTACATGTTAGTTGTCCTTAATTTGGGTACTCAGTACTGGCTTCATCATTAGTGACCAGTGTAACAGGGTCAGAATATGGGCACTTCTGTGGAACTATTTATGGCACTTTTGGTCACCAGAAGCTGTGGTTGTGAAAAACATTCTCAGGGATAAAAGGCTCAAGTTTAAGCATTTGTTCTAAAAGATATTTCTAGGTGATTTGAAAAATACACACACACACACACAGTATAATTAATTCATGACTAGAGCTACAAAATATTATGGTTTATTGAATCATAGTATGGTTTAAGTGTATCCTATAAGACTCTCATTTTTATTTTCCTTTTAGAACTGTAAAATTTTAAAATAGAGATGGTTTCATTTTCTTCTTCTGACACATAAAAGAGAACAGTGCAAAGGTTAAGAGACTCATGTCAAGGTTACTCAGCCATGAAAGTAGAATACAGAACTCCAGGCAGTAGGATCTTCTCTTCACACTCACTTTACACCTTAACCTCATTTTTTTCACTGCATCTTCTTTTTAGTTTCTAAAAACAAAACAGTAAAATGAAAAACAAAAAGAACTTCAATAGCAGAGTTCTCAAATTCTCTATTTAAATCTTCCTCTTAGCTTTAGATCAGTTAATATCTAAAAGAGACCATGGCCCCTGACTTGACTCACTTGTAGCCCTGATGGTTTTACCTTGTTCTCTGATATCTGTGTGCACCATTTCAGATCATATATAACAATCTTGATCTAGCCTAGGCAACAAAGCAAGACTCCATCTCTCTTAAAAAAAAAAAAAAAAAAAAAAAAAGCCAGATGTGGTGGCACACACCTGTAATCCCAGCTAATCGGGAGGCTGAGGCAGGAGGATGGCTTGAGCCCAGGAATTCAAGGATGCAGTGAGCTATGACTGAACCACTGCAATCCAGCCTGGGCGACAGACTGAAACCCTGTCTCTAAAACAAAAACAAAAACAAAAACACATAGTCTTGGTCATGTGTGCCATTAGATACATGGAGTATCTAGCATATCTGCCTCCATTATGGAAAAATAATAGAACACTTTAATAAAGGAAGGTGGGTTGGTTATAACATCTTTAGTTAAAGGACAATTTAGTGAAGAGAAAGATACTGAAGATATCTTTATTATTACTTTTTCTCTGCCAGTTCACTATGACTAAACTTTAAAGTGCTATAAATTCACATAATGCTAAACCGAATGACAATTTTCAATAACTTTTCTTATTAAATTAAACATTTAACTCCTAATAGGCACACACATAGCTTATATGCTTAGTTATTACTCTCCCCTCATATAATTCTTTTTTCTTTACTTATTCTTGTTGGAAAAAACAACAGCATTTTACCCCTTTCCCAATCCAGGTGCTAAAAATACTTATTTTTCATTTTCATTTTCACTTTTTCTATGGAAAAGGAGAAAAAGTACATCATTTTTCATACCTAACAAATACTTTAATTAAATATCATCTCATCTGGCCTCAAAATTGAACCACTTTTTATCAAGAAAACAGCCTGGACCAAAGCCCATCGCAAAGAAGAACTGGAGAAAACTGAGAAGCACACAATGAAAGAAAACCCACATTGATGCCAGACTAATTGTTATCCAATTAATAAAATAACAATCAATGATCTCACTTTCTCTTGCTAATTTTTCTCCTCAATAATCTTTCAAGCGACTCTTCTGCCTGGAAAGATGGATGGAGCTAAGAGGATGGCAAAGCACTCTGATAGGACACAGCACATCCTGATTTAGACCAACCATTTTTGGGAAACTATCCAGGGTTTCAAAAAGTGACTAGTTAAAACAAACTAAAGAAATTAAAAAGGAGTCATATCCTAGTCTGAAAGTAGATTTTAAAATATGTGTGTGTGTTTAAAACATAATTCTCTCTGAGCAATTTCAGTGGCTAAAATCTTAGTATAGTAATGCTAACAGGTAGGTGGAGGCTCTGTTTACCTAAACTCAGACATGCTAAAGAAAATAAAGATTAATCTGATAAAGGCATCACTATTTCTAATTGAACTGATGGGAAAATGTAGTATTGGGTGTGAGAGACAATGTCGGGTGAATTATCGTGAAGTGATGAACTACTTTGAAGCCGAAGCAATCAAATAGATAGCTCTAAAAATTACTACGCATCTTTATTCAACAGTTTGGTGCAAATGTCCCTGTCTTGGCCTTTTTTACAAAGAGCAGAAGCACTTTGTTGTATTTGGTGAAATTAAATCTTATTAGGAGAGCCTCAGCTAAGGCTGCTACCCTTCACTTACCAAAATTAAACACGAAGCATTCATTTCCTATCTAAGAGATGATGATGTTTGATAATATTATCAGTTCACAAGATCATTACAAATTCACGAGAAGAGTTAGTAAACATTTTTTAAAAATTCTGTCACATATCTGTGTCTTTGCATTGCACACTTTTTAATTAAAAATAATGTACAACATTTGTTACTCATCCTTGTCTTTCTGTATAAATAATTCAGCAAGTAATTATTTTGTCTTCAGAAAAAAAGATAATTGCCTGTAAATTATTATGATTAAATAGAATAAAGTCAAGATGTTTTTGTAATTGGTAGAATAGAGCAAATAGTCTCTATCGGAATACTGTTTTAACACTTTCCCTTTGTCTAATCAGACATAAAAATCATCAAAAAATGGAAGTACAAAGAAATATTCCTAAAAGGTAGTCATAACCTCACTACTGAAAGATAATCACTATTAACATTTTTGCAAAATACAAATATAAACATATATATTTCATATATGTGTGTGCAAGTGTGTTTTTATACCCACATTAAAATTGAAATCAGACAACACAGGGTGTTTTGAATGCAGGTTTCTTTTCTTAGAAATATATTGCAGGCATTTTTTAGGTTAAGAGGTAAACATCTATGTTAACATTTTTAGTATTTGCATAGTATTGCATTATGTGTTTTATCATTTAACGTCTCATATATTGAGTGTTCAAGTTGTTTTTAAGCTCTGACCATTACAAGTAGAATTGATATATCTTTGACTTAAAATCTGAAGTCACACACAAATATGAAACATTTTATTTAGACTACTTCATACTCTGACTCAAATACCAGATATATGTGCTATAATGGGTAATGATACTTTATAAAACAAATTTTTTTTTTTTGAGTCGGAGTCTCACTCTGTCACCCAGGCTGGAGTGCAGTGGCATGCTCACGGCCACCGCAGCCTCGACCTGCTGGGCTCAGGTGATCCTTCTGCCTCAGCCTTCTAAGCAGCTGGAACTACAGGCATGCACCACCATACTCAGCTAATTTTTTTATTTATTGTAAAGACAAGGTCGAGCTCACCATGTTGCCCAGGCTGGTCTCGAACCTGTGAGCTCGGGCAATTCTATCACCTCCATGTCCCAAAGTGCTGGAATTACAGGCATGAGCTACCACACTAGCTATAAACTTTTGAAACGGTAATTCCATTTGATATTACATATACATTTCTATTTGCTCAGAGTGTTACATATTTCCTCTCGTGTTCTTTTGGAGTAGTTAAGAGGTAGACATTGGTATTTGCATTTAACCTATTAATTATTTAACCTATTAACTTCCAAGTTGAAGCATTCAGATTTGTAAGTGGTGTCTAGGAGACATGAACACTAAATTTAAGGAATGTATCTTCCTTGACTATACTCTATGCTCTTTTTAATGGCACAATCAAACCCTTGATTCTTGGTTTGGGAGGATAGCTGGGGAATTCTAGCTAGCATGATTTCTCATTCCTGCCTCTTTCCTTCAACTAAAGTTACCTTTGTTGTCTTCATCCAATACCTCCTTTAAATTCGACTGAAAATACCAGAATACATCCTATTAGTCTCAGTTCTATTATAACCACTTTAGTATTTTTTTTTGTGAGTCAGAACTTCACTCTGTCACCCAGGCTGGAGTGCAGCAGTGGCAGGCTCACAGCCACCACGGCCTCGACCTGCTGAGCTCAGGCAATCCTTCAGCCTCAGCCTTCCATGCAGCTGGGACTACAGGGTGTGCCACCATGCCTGGCTACACTTCCATATTCTGAAACACCTTAGCAATTAAATACAGCATTCACTGAGAGCTTATTTTGTGTTCTTGAATTTTATATAGTTATCTTTGTTATCTATCTTGCAAACTTTATTAGAGACCCTAGACTTTATTTCTTTGGTATCCCTAAAGATAACTCATACTTCAAATAATGTACCTTATCGGGTATAGTATTTTAAATGATACTTATAAAAACAGTACTGAGAAGTATTTTGGATACTAATAGTATTCCTTTTTGCTCTATTGTACAAAAATACTTATTTACTATACTGAAGATAAAGAATGTTTCAGATTTTCTTTCATTTATATTTCTTAATGTATTTTTTGTCCATTTTGGAGAAGAGAATTGCATCTATTATTTTTAAATGTTGAAAATCATTACATTAGAATAAAATAAATTTGTGGAGCCTTATTTATAAATATTATTGTGGCATGATTTTAAAAATGCTTGATAGTTAAGTGAATTTTATTTGATTTTCTTAATGTTATTTAATATACTTTTTGAAGTACTTAGAAAAAATGCATACCTTTAAACAATTTGTCCTGCTTTTGAGTATAATTTTCCATACTTAGAGAAGAGATCAAATGATGGTAATACAGTTTTAAAATCCTAGGAGGAAAAAAATCAAAGATTACCACAGAGATCTTAATGATTTTATCTTCATTATTTAGATTATATTAAGTTACCAGATAGATGTCATTCAACTGTACTTCGAATTTTCCATTATATCCTTAAAACAAAATTAGCAGGTACATTTTATAAGCATTATCAGTTGAAAGTCAGCTATATTGAAGCCTTCTTTCTTAGATACACAGTTTTTAACAGCAGATAAATGGTGCCCACAAGCAACTATGAGCAATGCAAACAGCAGACATTTCTACTTGTCTTCAAAGAGCTTACAATCTAAATTTTTTTTTATCTTGGCTTCATAGGGGTCAGTACTTTCTTTTGTGCAAAATTATTATTGTTGAGTGAATGAATGAAAATGGATGATACACTCAAATAACTATAATAGAAAGTGGATTGTATTCAGTACCACAGAACTGATTCAAATAAAAGGTAAAAGAGATTAGAAGGAGGAAAATCATTTTCTGTTGCGTAACCAGACAGGCAGCATTTAACTGAGGACAGAAATTAATGCTTTTCATGAGTGTTAAATAGACAAAGTCATTAAAGAAGTGAGCTACCAAATCAACAGCGAATACTGTAAATAAATGATCAGACTATATAAAGGTGTATGCTTCTCTCAAGAAGCAAGTCTATCCTTAATGGAGGTATATTTTGGATGAGTTTTTTCTTTTTAATTTTAAAATTGTGGGTTACAATTCAGGGTTAGGTATACAAATATTCATTGTGTAGGTACCCTTGTTGATGAGGTGCACGCTCCTTCCCCAGGCAGTTTCCCACAACTGCCAATCCCTCCTCCCTGTCCCCCACCACACCCCTGAAGTTTCCCACTCAGTTGGAAATCCTTTTCTTATAGTATTACAATAGTTGCTCAAGGTCCACTTATGAGTGAAAACACGTGATACTCAAGTTCTTTGTTTCTGTGAAAGATCACTCAGTATTATAGAATCTAAGTCCATCCAGGTTGCTCCGAAGTTCATGACTTTGTTTTTCTTTATGGCTGCATAATATTCCATTGTGTATATGTACCAAATTTTTTAATCCAGTCCTATTTTGATGGGCAGCACAGTTGGTTCCATGTTCTTGCTATTGTGAACAATGCTGCAATAAACATACATGTGCAGGTATCTTTTT